AGCCTCAGCAAGAACAAAAACCCCATCTCTACTAAAAATAGAAAGAAATTAGCTGGACAAGTAAAAATAGAAAAAACTAGCTGGGTGTGGTGGTGCACACCTGTAGTCCCAGCTACTTGGGAGGCTGAGGCAGGAGAATCTCTGGAGTCCAGGAGTTTGAGGTTGCTGTGAGCTAGGCTGACACCATGGCACTCTAGCCTGGGCAACAGAGTGAGACTGTTCCCCCCCCCCAAAAAAAAGGAAACTCTAGAAATAATAACTACTGTAACTGAAATTTTAAAATTCACTTAACAAACTTAATAGCAGATTGAAAATGGTGAAAAATTATATATCTAAGGTGTTCAACAAACCTTGCATGGGATAAATACAAAGAAAGCCCTCCTACCCACATCACAGTCAAACTGCTGAAAGCCACAAATAATGAGAAAAGCTTCAAAGCACATCACCCGCCCACACACACAAAAGAGCAACATAGCTGCCACAATGGCTAACTTTGTGTTAGAAAACAGCAGAGGCCAGAAGATACTGGAACAACATAGGCAGAGGGCTGAAGAAAAAGAACTGTCAACCAATTTTTTTTTTTTTTTTGAGAAAGGGTCTCACTGTGTCACTCAGGCTGAAGTGCAGTGGCATCATCATTGCTAACTACAGCCTCAAACTCCTAGGCTCAAGCAATCCTGCCTCAGCCTCCCAAATAGCTGGGAGCATAGGTGTGAGCCACCACGCCTGGCCCAAAACTGTATATGCAGCAAAAATATCCTTTAGAATTGAAGGCAAAATAAAGATATTTCAGATCAATAAGAAAATAGGAGAATGTGTTATTAACAGGAAAGAAATGCTAAAGGAGGTTTATCAAGCTGAGAAATGATATCAGATGGAACTCAAATCTACAAGAAGGAATGAAGCATACTAGGAATCATAAATATGTGGGTAAATATTAAAAATACTATTTTTCTCAATTTATTTAAGATATACATGAATCCTGAAAGCAAAAAAAAAAAGGAAAAATTACTGTCTTGTGTGATTTGTAACATATGTAGATACAATATGTATGATGACAGGGCAAAGCAGGAGTAAATGGAACTTACTACTGCACAATTTTTACATTTTATGCAGTGTAACAAAATCAATTCTAAACAGACTGTGATAAGAAACATTTTTCAGACTACTAAAAAGTAACACAGGCCGGGCGCGGTGGCTCACGCCTGTAATCCTAGCTCTCTGGGAGGCCGAGGCGGGCGGATTGCTCGAGGTCGGGAGTTCGAAACCAGCCTGAGCAAGAGCGAGACCCCGTCTCTACTATAAATAGAAAGAAACTAATTGGCCAACTAATATATATAGAAAAAATTAGCCGGGCATGGTGGCGCATGCCTGTAGTCCCAGCTACT